TATATTCTGCTAAGAACAGAATGCTCTAAGATCACTATTCTGATTTTGTTACTTGTCCCAAGACAACTGTACTAGTTTCCTTTTGATGCTGTAATTTAATCAAAGCCCTTTTCCCATGTAAGGTAATATTCATAGATTTGGGGGATTAGGACATGTATGTCTTTGGGGAGGGTATTATTTTTCCTACCTCAGTCTTGCCTCTGGCCCCTAAAGACTCACAGCCATCTTACATGCAAAATACATTCACCTCACCTCAGCATCTCTGAAAGTGTCAACCTATTATCTGTTTAGCGAAACAGAGCAAAGTAAAATCTCATCTAAATCTCCAAATCTCATCAGCTCCAAAGTCTCAAATCTTATTGTCTAAACCACCTAAATTAGATATGGGTAAAAAACTGGATATGATGGGCAAAATTCTTCCTAATCTGTAGTTTCATAACTTGTTTTTAAGTTATATGTCCTCAAAATTCAATGGTAGAATATGCATAGGACACCAGAAATAGACACTGCCCTTCAAAATCAGAGAAAATGGAAGGAAAAATGGAGTCATTGGGTTCAACTAATTTAAATGTCCAACTGGGCAAACGATATTAGGTTTTAAGGCCTGAAAGTATCCTCTGGGCTTGAGCTGCCCTAGGAGTTTTCCACCCTTTTTCATGAAGAGTAGCACTTGTTAATAGCTGAGTAGTTTTATCAGCCTGTTGCCTTCATGTAGAATTTGGGGAGTTCAATAGCCATCTTTGACTTTTTCTTTTGTTGCTTGCAGTTCAAGCTGGCAGTGTTTATGCTGATGTAAAATTCTCAACCTTGTGGGTCTCCTGTGTGTGTCATGGGAATTCAGACCATTAAACAAGAGGCTTCTCTACAGATGTTTCCTGGATAATGCTATCTCTATTTCTGGCTTCTCCTGAGTTGGTTGAGGGAGATCCATGAATCACACACCTCACCTCTTAAAAAAACCATCTGTGTGAATGAATATTCTGACCTTTTGATCATTCTGGGGCATTAGTAAATGCATTCTACCACTCATTTGCTCTTTTCTCCAGAGCACACTTCTCTTGAGTGAATCCCCTAATTTTAGTATCTTGCAGTGTGGATAGGCTGATAATTTCACAAATCAACAAGTTCAGGTTCCTTTTTAACAGTTCTTCCCTAGATTTATCTCTGCTTCTGCATTTTACTGTAAGCATCAAAAAGAAACCAAGTTTATTATATACAAGTTGTGCTTTCCACATAACTATAGGACACAATTCAGCTAAGTTTCTACTGTATAAGGATTCTCTTCAGGTTTCCCAAAACAATTCTCAATTCCTTTTGAGCCCTCACCAGCAGTGGGTTTAGTGTCCATATTTCTATGAACAGTCTGTTTATAGTGTTTTCTAAGACTATAGATTTTCTCTGTCATGCTCTTCACTTCTTTCTGAGTCCTCACTAGCTGAGTTGTTAACATCCACATTTTTACTAATAGTCTATACAAAGCATTCTAGGATTTTTCCTGTCATCACAATTCTTCCAGCCTCTGCCCAATGCCCAATTCCAAAACCACTTCTACATTTTTAGGTATTAGTTACAGCAGCAGTCCATTCCCAGGTATCAAAATCTATATTAGTTTCATATTGCTGCTGTAACAAATAACTATTGACTGAAGACAATACAAATTAAAGTTCTAGAGATCAGAAATTAGAAATTGGTCTTAGGGGAGTAAAATGAAAAATTGGGGCTGCTTTCATCCTTTCAACCTTTGCCTCCATAGTCACATCTCTGACTTTGACTCTTGACATCCTTTTCGTAAGTATCCTGGTGATGACTTTGGGGTCATAGGGCAATTAGGATTACCTTCTCCACAAAATCTTGAATTAGACCTTCAAAGTTCCTTTTGCAATGTAAGGTCATATATTCACAGGTTTCAGGGATTGGGATATGAACATCTGTGAGGCGGGGAGGGCAGCGGGTATTTTTCTGCCTGTCACACCTGCCCTCCGATGGATCCTTGTTCATTTAGTGAACAGTATTTGAGGCCCTCAGATGGGTACTAGAGTACATATATATGAGTGTTGTTAGGTAAAAGTACTGTCTCTGCTTGTTGGATCAGACAAATCTTTTTAATATTAGATTTTTCCCTCACAGTTAAATGTATTATTCTACCCTGCTTATAAATTGGATTGATCTTTTTTTACCTGTTTAATATTTTTTCTTATTTTTCGATTATAGTTGGCATACAATATTATATTTGTTTCAGGAGTATAACATAGAGTGATCTAACACTAGGATTTTTCTCTTGTGTTGGCAGTGTGTGGGTTCCATGTTGCCCTAAATTAGGATTTGTGAGATTTTTATGTGAGATTTTCCATTTTTTTTTTTTTTTTTCTAAAATAATGTAAGTCAAAGCAGCCCTGTAAAGCAAATTCAGCCCCATGGCCAGAAGTTTCCAACTGCTATCTTATGGATTAGTGCTGTAATCTAATGATAGATCAGAATTGTGGATAAATTAGATAAGGTATTGTGATAAGATGTGTGATTGATACTGGAATATGAGTACAGAGAGACTTAATACTACAAAAATGCTGTTCAAACTTAGAGTGGATAGTAAACACTGTAAGTCAGGGCTGTTGGCCCAAAGAGAAGGCAGTGAAGGCCTACTGTCTCTGCTTTTTCACTCAGTCATCAGATCTTACATGCCAGACCTATGCCAGGGGTGGAGGGGAAAAAAAAAAGTATTCCAGTAAGGTGAGGCCTGTAAATCTTAAATCTGGTGTTTTAGAGGTTATTAGAGCTTTTACAAAGTCCTGGAAGCCCCTGAGCCTGGCCCAGCTAACTGTACATGGGAGTTAGGTAGGCCACATAATAGATGTGATTGCAGAGAATGGGGTTCTTGTTTTTGAAATAATTATTGAGAACTTTATTTATATGTGCTGCTTTGAGCACTTTATATGTAGTGTCTCCTTTAAAACAACAGCTCTGTAAGGCTAATGTCCCAAATTTCCTGGATGAAGAAAAATTAGAACAGAAAGATAAATACTGTTATGCTTATTTCACAGCAGAGTAAAAATTAGAGAGGTTGAGGAAGTCATCTAAGGCCACAGAGCTAACAGGTAGTGTAACCAGGTTATGAATCCATAATGTTCTAAATGTTCCACCTTTCCCTGTTCACACTGATCCTGTCATTCAGCAACTCAACGATATCACCAAATACTAAGGATTGTCTCCCCTTGGAGTCCAAAAGTAGCTAACAGCAGCTTCTGGTATTACATCTGTTCTGACATCCAGCAGGATGTATTCCACCCACAATTGCAAGCAAGTCCTGAGACTCACTCTGACTAGGTCAGCTTGGGTCTTAAGCCCAACAATCGATATGCTTAGGGATGTGAGATAAATTGACTGGCTTAACCTAGCTCTCCTATTTTAACCACTTTTAAAGCTGGGAATCAGTTCCCTTTCCCAGAATCAGAAGTTTTCCAGATGGAATTCAGGCGGGTGGGTAGAGGAAATGGATGCTGGAAGGACAATCAACAGAGGTAATGCTTCTTGAATCAAGTTACAAATGATATCTGCATTCTAGAGTTAGGGATTTAATGAAGGGGTGTGTGTGTGTATACACTACAAGTTTATATATATACACATACATACATGCACATACATATATTTGAGTGAGGAATGACTGCTTGAGAGTTAAAGCAACTCCAATAAAAGATCCCCAAATGCAGCAGCTTAAAAAAGGTTACATTTATTTTTGACTCTACAGAGCTAGGTGTTCCAGCATTGGGAGGGGACTCTGGCATCATTAGTACTTCCATTTCTGAGTTCAAGGTGGCTGTTCTCATCTTAACCTCTCAGCAGAGAAGGGAAAGGGGCAAGGGTAGGACATGTTCATAGTTTTATGGTACTAAGTAGCACACATTCCTTTTAGTCAATTCCCATTGGCCATTATTTAATCAAAACTCCCCACCTAGTTGCCAGAGAGGTGGGAAGTTGGAGTCTAGTGGTAAGGTCATATGCCCACCTAAAACTTTTGAGAAAACTTGTCATGGTTCAGACACGAGATCCTGGTGTCCATAAGTACTTGGCTGTCTTGTCTGATCCCAAACCACGTGCCTCCTGGCTGCAGCTGGAGTGCCCACCATTGGTTAGGTCCTCTGGTAGAGGAAGTCACCAGAAGTGAAGCACCATGCTTGAGAACGAAAAGTGGCTGTTACTGAATTCGCTACCAGCCCTCACCTAAATCCCGCATCATAGCTTACTCCATTTCTGACAGCACGTGGGACTAGCTATCGCTATCAGTGGCCCTCTTCCCTGTCTTCCTGGTCCTTGTCTAAGGACTTTCTGATGCCAGCAATGCGCCCGTCACACAATGGACGCATCTATGGTCAGTGACACTCATGTCACCACTCTAACCAACCTTCTCCTCCTCTTCCAGGTAAGTGACCTTTTCTTCCCTGGACATTAAATTTATTTTAAAAGAGGGCGACTTCAAGCACTGGTCCAGCTCTGACAGGCTCCACGATTCCTGGAGAAAATCTCAGAAAAAGCACAGGCCCCAAGTAAATATGACAAGGAAACGTGAAGGAATTTGCGAAGCCCGGCCAGTTCCAGCTCCTGGAGAACACAGACTCTTGCTGTGATCTGCCGAGAGGCGTTTCTGCGCTCGCTAGCTGGAGACTGCAGCTTTCATTTTTGAAGCTGCCTAATCCACGCAGGCGGGGTGATGATCCTATCCAGTGGCCCAGTAGGTTTTGAGAATTCAGTCCTTTCAGAGGGATGAGGATGAGTAACTTCCAAAAAGAAGAACCAAAGAGGGGGCCGATGGGATGTGTATCTACAGCAGCAACCACAACCTCACGTAGCCTTACAGACAACCGCGGTGTCGCCCGCTTCCGCTTCCAATAGTTAACGCGAGAAATTTCGCAGTTTTTTTTTTTTTATCGCGAGAGCCAGAGACATGTCAGTCCCACTACGCAAGCGCAATTTTGTCAACGCCCCCATCCTTCGAGCGCTTTGTCAACGCCCTCATCCTTCGAGCGGTTCGATATCCGCACGCCTAAGGAAAGCGGCTGATAGGAGCGCGCCTGCATTTCCTTCCCCTTACCTGGCTAATTCTCAGTTTCACTTCCGGTCCCTAATTTCCGGTCCTTCCCATTTTTTTTTTCCTTCCGACAGGAAAATCTGTAGTGAGGGTCAGTTAAATTTTTGGTTCCCGGTAAGGTTGTCTTCTGCTGAGGCCCGGAAGCTCCCTGGACTGGAGCCGCGCGGCCTGAGGGCAGCGCCCTCACTAGCAGCATGGTGAGTACCGTGGATGGGTGAGGGAGGAGGTGAGCGGGCGGGCTGTGAGGGCTCTCGGTCCCATCTGGGGCCCTTGTAGGGGTACAGCCGCGCATCACTGCAGGCTTCAGAGACTGTAACTTGGGGATTCTCTTCCTGCCTCGCTGTCAGAAGTTGGAGAAGGAAACTAGGATTTCGGGGGCCGCGTTACTATCTTCTGATAGTGTTTTAATCTCCATGAAGCGCTTTACGTAATCAGTAGGGGAAACTAAGGAACAGAGAGGCGCAAGGACCGTCTTCGAGTCACAGTGCCTGCCATGGGCTGGATTGTTTGTCACTAAGTCTCACAGTGGAGATAAACAGCTGTCGTGACTTTGTTTCTGGATTATTTGATTTATGTCTGTTCTCAGTCTCCCCCACAAGATATACATTTCAGGAGGGTAGGGTCTTTTTAGCATTGCCCTCTTAATGTCTAATTGTGTCTGGCACGTTGAAGGTGTTCAGTAACGAATGAATGAATGTCATAGTCTTATTGCATGAGGGTGTGATCACTGGTCTGGCGTGGTTTGTTGGCTTCATTTGTTCAGGAAGCACTCACGAGGGGTAAATATGAGAATGTACATAGTGCAGGTACAAGGAAGATACTATACATGTGGTTACAATAATATTTTCATTAAGTGAGGCCCCCATAAGACGCACTGGACGCCGTAGTAAGGTTATAGAATAATTCCAATATAGGATTGTATTGGAAGCCATTGTAGATTGATGAGCACAAGAACCAGAGAAACCAGTGGACTAGAAGTGACCCTTTCTGTAGGAGGATATGCCCCAAATTTACCGTTTCATACTGCCCTACTCAGCCTTGAGGCTCTTGGTTTCTGAAATCTGGCAAGCATAGGGAATCCCCTCTCTCTATTCCCTGGAAGAAGAGAAGGATCCTACGCCTGGATATTACTGGATACAGGAGTTGCTGGGTATTTTATATAGCTGTCACCATCACACATTCATATTTGTGGGCTTCCATCACGCTGGGTACATGTCCTTGTCACTGATCACTTACCATTGATTCCTTGTTTTGGGAGAAGTTCCATGGGAAGAACCATGCCTGAATTTCTAGCACCTAGCATGATGTTTTATGCATGGAGTAAGCATTGAGAAACACCAAATTAAGTATTTAGGATCTTTAGGCTTTAATGAAATAGCTAGGACACAGCTTCAGCCTTCAAGATGATGGCTTTCCCTGGGAGAGCCTCTTTGTTTTATTCCTTGGTAGATATTGTGTTAATTTATCCACCAAGCATTTGCCAACTTTGTTTCAATTGAGCTCACTTTTGCTGAGCATCTAAACTGCATACCTGATGTCTTCATGTATTTATCTCATTAAATCATCATGACATCTCTATGAGGTAAGAGTTATGGTCCCTGTTGTAAAAATGCGGAAACTGAGGTTTAGAGAGACTACTACTCAGGGGTGGTAAATGAAAGAGCTGGGAGTAAAATTTAATTCCGTGACTCAGCAGGTACTCTTTCTACTTATACCCAGAAAACATGTTTCCTGCCTGACGTGTTTTCAGGGATAATTGACTTGACACTAGTGTGACAGTACTTAAATAAAACTCACTTTGTAAAAGCCAGTCTTCCTCAAATTCCATTGCCATGGAACAGACAATTGTGGTGTTGGGTGGAAAGTGCCATGGTAGGTATAAACCCAGGCAAAGGGTAGCAGCCTAGCTGGGAGGAAGTAGGTTATGGAAGAACTCCCTGTGATGGTGATGACACAGCTAAATTTTGAAGGATGAATAAGAGCCAGATCCAAGGAGCTGGGGACAGTGAAGGAGTAAAGATTTTAGGTAGAGGTAGCAGCGTAAGTAAAGTCACAGGATTTGGATATCCTTTATTATTATTTTTTTTGTTACTGTGTTCGTATGCTAGTTCAAGCATTCTGCTTGTGATTGTGTCCTGAAACTTTTCTCTAAAAAGTAAATGGGAAAAAAAAGTATTTTAAATATGGGTATTTTTCTTCTCATCTGTCTCCTTTTAGGCCCGAAATGCAGAAAAGGCCATGTAAGTATGAACTCGATTTTTGTCTGTAAATTTTATATAACTTAATTACTACCATGGAGCTCTTTGTGTGTTGGCCTTTTTGGTATATGAGTCTTTTGGTATATGTTCCTTTCTCTACATGTGTTAAAATAGTGTTCCCATATTTTCCCATTTGCTTTCTCCATTAGTGTTTACTGATAGCTCTCAGAATTTTAATGGATGAACATTTATTCACCTGGGGATGGCGTAGGGGCTGTGAGAGTGACAGTTGGAATACCCCATGATGTTAGTCTTTTAACATCTGGATGTGTTGCTCACCACAGTGGTCTGATAAGTAGAGTTTCCAACAGTCCTTTTACACAATGTAAGTAAAGTAGGTACTTGGGTGTTCAGGAACACAGATGGTTTTATAATCCCTACTCTTTGGAACATGGAAACTCATAACTTCTCTGTAGTTTCTTAATCATAACACACACACACACACACACACACACAACACACACACACAGGAATGACATTAAATATAATCAGTAGCAGATTTACCCATCAGGGAACTTGGGTGATAGGAAATCTGTGAGCATAATCTAACAGAGTCTCCTTTATTTCTGGTAGGACGGCCTTAGCAAGATTTCGCCAAGCTCAATTGGAAGAGGGAAAAGTGAAGGTTGGTGTAAATCTTCCTCATGAATTGTAAAATATCAAGATCAAATGTGGTAAATCTCCATCCTGAAAGACTTCAAACTTCAATCTTCCTATTTCTTGTCTATACTTGCTGACACAGTTTTGAATCTGTACACTTGAATTCCAGGTGTACCTTTCTATAGCTGCGCAGTGTGATAATCTGGCTGCTTGTTCTTCCATATCTTATGTAATATGATAATTGGATTCCCATATTATTCCAGCTCTGTCTAATATTGAATAATAAGAAGTGGAAGTGCTATGGGGAGCTGAAACCAGTAAATGATCTTAATGGAGACTGAGGAAGGTTAGAGATAAAATGTACCAATCTTTGAATATTTTTGTTTTTTAAAAATTAGATATACACATGTAAATTTATTCCAAACTATGGGAGCCATCATTTCTTAAGTTAATATAAATATGCCATGAAATGGTTATAACCTAGTTTACTTGGCCATCTCTCTATTATTTGACTTTTAGGTTATTTACAGTGGTTCACTGTACTAGATACAAAGCAATGAATGTTTTTGCCTATGTAGTTGTTTCCTAAGGAGAGAGAGATTGTAGAGTGAGGTTTGAGCTTGATGAAGATGATCTGGAACTGAAACTTCAGATGTATTTAGACCATTAAACATTTTGGACTTCAGGCCTGAATCAGTTGAATGTTGCATGAAGCTTGTAATTTTATACAGCATAGTGGCAACGTGTATATTTTGCTTTTCCTTAGGAACGAAGACCCTTCCTTGCCTCGGAATGTACTGAGCTGCCCAAAGCTGAGAAGTGGAGACGACAGGTACATTCTAGATGAATCTGATCTTATTAGAAGTAACAAGTCTCTAATTGCTAACTATCCAAATGGCTCTTAAATCAGAATTCTAAATATTTTTAATTACTAATTTTGAATTATATTTCTTCTATACTTTTAGAGATATTCAAAAGACATAAGAATTAATTACCTTTTACTTTTTTCACAGATCATTGGGGAGATCTCTAAAAAAGTGGCTCAAATTCAGAATGGTAAGGTAGTCAATCTACTTAAAGTGCTTCATTTTCAGATTCACAAGACTTGAGACTTCTACACTCCTTTCTCCGTAATCAACAAAAAAAGCAGAAAATCAGTTTTTATCATAGAAGAACTGAACAATACTATCACCAGTTTGACCTAGCTGACGTTTATTGAGCACTCTACCTGACAACACTTCACCTAACATAAAACAAGACAATTTCTTTTTTTCAAGAGTACAAGGAACATTCACCAAAATAGAATATATTCTGGGCTATAAAATAATTGAAATCATACAAAGTATGTTCTCTGATTATAATAGATTAACATAGAAATCAGCAACAGAAATATCTGGAAAATTCCCAAATATATGGATATTAAACAGCATACTTCTAAACCACCCCTTTGTCAAGAGGAAACCAAAAAGAGATTAGAATTTTTTTTGGAGGGGATACATGATTTATTTTTATTTTAAAAAAATATATACATATTTTATTTTTCAATTACAGTTGACATACAATATAATATATGGAAACAGCATACTTCTAAACCACCCCTTTGTCAAGAGGAAACCAAAAAGAGATTAGAATTTTTTTTGGAGGGGATACATGATTTATTTTTATTTTATTTTAATATATACATATTTTATTTTTCAATTACAGTTGACATACAATATTATATTACTGTTGTGTGTACAACATAGTGATTAGACATTTATGTAACTTACAAAGTGATCAGCCCAATAAGTCAAGTACCCATCTGACACCATGCATAGTTATTACAGTATCATTGACTATACTCCCTATGCTGTACTTTACATCCCTGTGACTATTTTTATAACTGCCAATACTGTCCCCTTTTTCACCCATCGTCCCAAGCGCCCTCCCATCTGGCAGCCATCAATTTGTTCTTCGTATCTACGAATTTGTTTGTTTTGTTTGTTTGTTTTGTTTTTTAGATTGCACATATAAGTGAAATCATATGGTATTTGTCTTTCTCTGACTTATTTCATTTAGCATAATACCCTCTAGGTCCATCCAAGCTGTAGCAAATGGTAACATTTCATTCTTCTTATGTCCAAGTAATGCCTCTTCTTTATCCATTCGTCTGTCGATGGGCATTTAGGTTTCTTCCATATCTTGGCTATTGTAAATAATGCTGCAGTGAACACAGGGATGCATCTGTCTTTTTGAACTGGTGTTTTGGATTTTTTTGGATAAATACCCAAAAGTGGAATTGCTGGATCATATGGTAGTTCTACTTTTAATTTTTTGAGGTACCTCCATGCCGTTTTCCATAGCGGCTGTACCAATTTACATGAGGGTTCCCTTTCCTCCACATCCTTGCCAATGCTTGTTTGTTGATTTATTGATGATAGCCGGCCTGATGGGTGTGAGGTGATATCTTGTTGTAGTTTCAATTTGCATCTGCCTGATGATTAGCGATGCTGAGTATCTATCTGTTTATCTATCTGTTCATATGTCTGTTGGCCATCTGTATGTCCTCTTTGGAGAGATGTCTGTTCGGGTCCTCTGCCCATTTTTTAATTGGATTGTTTGTTTTTTGGGAGTTAAAGTCTATCAGTTTCTTATATATTTTGGGTATTAGCCCTTATTGGATGTATCATTTGTGAATATCTCCTCCCATTCAGTAGATGTCTTTCTGTTTTGTCGACGGTTTCCATTGCTGTACAGAAACCTTTTAGTTTGATGTGGTCCCATTTGTTTTTCTTTTGTTTCCTTCACCCGAGGGGACATATCCAAAAAGATACTGCTAAGAGTGTTATCACAGAGTTGACTGCCCATGTTTTCTTCTAGGAGTTTTATGGTTTTGGGTCTTATATTTAAGCCTTTAATCCATTTTGAGTTTATTCTTGCATACGGTATAAGAAAGTGGTCTAGTCTCATTTTTCCACGTGTATCTGTCCCGTTTTCCCAACACCTTTTATTGAAGAGACTGTCTTTACCCCATTGTATATTCTTACTGCCTTTGTCATAGATTAATTAATCATAAAGGCTGGATTTATTTCTGAGCTCTCTGTTCTGTTCCATTGATCTTTGTGTCTGTTTTTATGCCAGTTTTGATTACTGTAGCCTCGTGATATAGTTTGATATCAGGTAGCATGATACTTCCAACTTTGTTCTTTTTCCTCAAGATTGTTTTGTCTATTCGGGGTCTTTTGTGGTTCCATACAAATTTTAGGATTATTTGTGCTAGTTCTGTGAAAAAGGCCATTGGTATTTTGATAGGGATTGTATTGAATCTGTAGATTACCTTGGGTAGCATGGACATTTTAACGATGGTAATTCTTCCTATCCATGAGCACGGTATATGCTTCCATTTATTTGTATCTTTTTTAGTTTCTTTCTTCAGTGTCTTATAGTTTTCCGAGTATAGGTCTTTTTATCTCCTTGATTAAATTTATCCCTAGGTATTTTATTCTTTTTGATGCAGCTGTAAATGAGATTGTTTTCTTAATTTTCCTTTCCGATAATTCATTATTAGTGTACAAAAATGCAACCAGTTTCTGAATTTCTGAATACTAATTTTATATCCTGTTACGCTACCAAATTCGTTTATAAGTTCCAATAGTTTTTTGGTGGACTCTTTAGGGTTCTCTCTATATAGTATGTCATCAATAAATAATGACAGTTTTACTTCTTCCTTTCCAATTTGGATGCCTTTCATTTATTTGTTTGTTTGTTTGTTTGTTTGTCCATTTGTTGTGGCTAGGACTTCCAGTACTCTGTTGAATAAAAGTGGTGAAAGTGGACATCGGTGTCTTGTTCCTGATCTTAACAAAAAAGCTTTCAGCTTTTCACTGTTGGGTATGATATTAGCTGTGGGTTTGTCATATACAGCCTTTATTATGTTGAGGTACGCTTCCTCTGTCCTCATGTTGTGAGAGTTTTTATCATAAATGGATGTTGGATTTTGTCTAGTGCTTTTCCGCACCTATTGTTATGATCATATGATTTTTATCCTTCATTTTGTTGATGTGGCGTATCACATTCCCAGGATCCTAGGAATAAATCCCACCTGATTGTAGTTTATGATCTTTTTAATGTACTGCCGAACTTGGTTTGCCAATATTTCGTTGAGGATTTTTGTGTCTATGTTCATCAGGGCTATTGGCCTATAATTTCCTTTTTTTTTTTTTTTTTTTTTGTAGTGTCTCTGTCTGGTTTTGGTATCATGCTGGCCTCGTAAAATGAGTTTGGGTTCCCTCCTCTTCATTTTTTTATAACAGTTTGAGAAGGATCAGCATTAATTCTTCTTTGAATGTTTGGTAAAATTCACCTGTAAAGTCATCTGGTCCAGGACTGTTGTTTTTTGGGAGTTTTTTGATTAGTGATTCAGTTTTGTTGGTAGTTGTCAGTCTGTTCAGATCTTCTCTTTCTTCCTGATTCAGTCTTGGAAGGTTGTATGTTTCTAGGAATTTGTGTATTTCTTCCAGGTTGTCCAATTTGTTGGCGTATAATTTTTCTTAGTATTTTTTTTTTTTTTTAAGTAATCCTTTGTATTTCTGTGCTGTTGGTTGTTGTTTCTCTTTCATTTCTGATTTTATACATTTGGGCCCTCTGTTTTTCTTGATGTGTCTGGTTAAAGGTTTATCCATTTTTATCTTTTCACAGAACCAACTCTTGGTTTCATTCACCTTTTCTATTTTTTTTAGACTCTATTTTGTTTATTTCTGCTCTGATCTTCATTATTTCCTTCCTTCTACTCACTTTGGGCTTTGTGTGTTCTTCTTTTTCTAGTTTCTTTAGGTGTGAGGTTAGATTGCTTGAGCTTTTTCTTGTTTCTTGAGGTAGGGGTGTATTGCTGTGAATTTCTTAGAACTGCTTTGCTGTGTCCCATAGGTTTTGGTAGTTGTGTTTTCATTTGCATTTGTCTCAAGGTATCTTTTGATTTCTTCCTTGGTCTTGTTAATGTGTTCATTGTTTAGTAGCATGTCATTTAGCCTCCACGTGTTTGTGTGCTTTTCAGTTTTCTTCTTGTAATTGATTACTAGTTTCATACCATTGTGATTGGAGAAGATGCTTGATATGGTTTCAGTCTTCTTCAATGTATTGAGATTCGTTCTGTGGCCTAACATGTGGTCTGTCCTGAAATTTGTTCCATGAGCGCTTGAAAAGAATGTATATTCTGCAGCTTTTGAGTGAAATGTCCTATAAATATCAGTTAAGTCCATCTGGTCTAATGTGTCATCTAAGGCCATTGTTTTCTTGTTGATTTTCTGTCTGGATGATTTATCCATTGATGTCAATGGAGTGCTAAAGTCCCCTGCTATTACTGTATTACTGTACTACTCTCGATATCTCCCTTTATGTCCGTCAGTATTTGCTTTATATGTTTAGGTGCTCCCACGTTAGGTGCGTAGATCTCTTGTTGGATCGACCCCTTATTATGAAATGCCCATCTTTGTTTCTTGTTACAGCCTTTGTTAAAGTCTATTTTGTCTGATATAAGTATTGCTACCCCAGCTTTTTTTGGTTTCCATTTGCAGGAAATATCTTTTTAATCCCTTTACTTTTAGTCTGTGTGTCTTTTGATCTGAATGGGTCTCTTGTGTGGGTCTTGTTTTCTTATCCAATCAGCCACTCTCTGTTTTTTGACTGAAGCATTTAATCCATTTACATTTAAAATGATTATCGAGAGGTATATAGTTATTATCATTTTATTATTCATATTTATGTTCTCCCCTCCCCCCCTTCTTGAAGAAGACCCTTTAACAGTTCTTGTAATAGTAATACCGGTTTGGTGGCAATGAAGTTCTTTGGCTTTTTCTTGTCTGGAAACTCTTTGTTCTTTGATTCCAAATGATAGCCTTGCTGGGTAGAGTATTGGTTTTGGTTTTAGGTCCTTGCTTTTCATCACTTTGAATAGTTTGTATTAATTTCTTCTGGCTTTTTCTCTTGCTGCTTTTAAGATTCTTTGTATTTAACTTTTGGCATTTTAATTATGATGTGTCTTGATGTGTCTTGGTGTGGGCCCCTTCGGGTCCATCTTGTTTGGGACTCTCGGAGCTTGCTGGACTTTTATGTCTATTTCTTTTGCCAAGTTAGGGCAGTTTTCAGTCATTATTTCTTCAGATCGGTTTTTTAATCCCTTGCTCGCTCCCTTCTCTTTCTGCTGCCCCTATGATGTGAATGTTTGATGTTGTCCCAGAGGTCCCTTAAACTATCTTAATTTTCTTTTTTTCTTTTCTTTTTTGCTGTCCGATTGGGTGTTTTCCATGACCTTGGCTTCCAGATCGCTGATTTGATCCTCTGCTTCATCTAATATGCTGTTGATCCTATCTAATGTAGTCTTCATTTCTGACTGGTTCTTTTTTGTTTTCTGTCTCCATTTTTATGTTTGCTATCTCTTTGTTGAAGTTGTCCCTGAATTCATCTATTCTTCCCCTATAATCGGTGAGCTCTGTACTTGGTAGATTGCTTGTCTCCATTTCGTTTAGTTCTTTTTCTGGAGTTTTATCTTGTTCTTTCACTTGGGACATGTTTCTTTGTCTCCTCATTTTGTCTGACTCCCTGTGTTTGTTTCTGTGTATTAGGTAGGTCTGCTACATCTCCCAGTCTTAGTAGAGTGGCCTTTAGTAGGTGTCCTGTGGGACCCAATGGCGCAGTCTCCCTGTTCAGCTGACCTGGGTGTTTTGTGGTTTTCCCTTGTGTGTGCCTTTCTTTTTTTTGTCGTTTAGCCTCAGTTGCTGTTGGCATGTCAGTAGGTGGGACTGACTGTCAGGCTTACTGGCTGTGAGGGTGCGCGTGACTGTCGCAGGTGAGATGTTATACGGGGTCTGGCCCCATGGAGCTCGAGTCACTTTAGCAGGGCTCTGGTGCCAGCTGAGTGCGCCCTTCGGGTGTGTGGTTTGTGGAGCTGTTTGGGTGATGCTGTGGTGTGGTCTTAACCTGGCTATCAGGTGTGTTGGTTCTGGAGCCTCTTCAGAGGAGCTCCAGTGCAGGTCATGTTTAGCCACTGCTTCTTTTTCTGTGGTTTGGGGCCTCCTCTTAGAATTTGATTGTTTGCTGTTTGTTCTAGGCTTGGTTGCACTTGATAGAGGTTATGCACTGAGGCTGGCTGCCATTAGTGTCAGAGTTTGGACCCTTTTTGGGTATCATGATGTGAGTTGCATTCAGCTGCTGCTTGTACTCAGTGTGTCTGCCTAGTCGTGGCTACTTTCCAATCCATGAATGGCAGCTTCTTATACTAATCGTGGAGTTTCTGATGGGCGTGTTTACTATGTATGTTGAGACCATTCGCTGCTTGTGTCTGGCTTGAATTTACTTAGTAAGAGGTACAGGGTACACTGAGGTCAGTGGCTGCTTTTTGGGCGTTTCTTGACCTTTGAGAAATTTTACAAATTTTGTGGCATGAGGTGAGGCAGGTTGAATATGTTGGAGTTGCTGCTGGAAAAGGTTTTGCGAGGAGCATGAGTGGGAGTGGTATGGTGTCAGGTAATTATCTAGTGGTGGAAATACTTTTAGCCAAGCTAATGGAAAGTTCATATTTGGTACCTACCTGTGCTGGTTGGCTGTGTGGGAGTAGGGTTCAACAAAAGCACAGTGGCACCTGCCAACACTTCCATCCTTGGAGAAGGATGTCCTGAACCCTGCTCTTCCAGTCCTTGCCCTAGTCAATTTAGTTCCTTCCTATATGCCCCTGGTGTTTTTTGAGCTGCTGCCTCTATGCTGGACCCAGAGCAAAGTAGATTTGTTCTTGGGCCCTTTGAGACCTTCATCGCCGAGGTCTCCAGCAGCTCTCTCTCACTTGGATGTAATCCCCATTGGATTTTCACAGCAAGGTGTCATAGGGACGCCTCTTCCTGGCACTGGAGCCCTTGGCTGGGGAGCCCTGAATGGGGCTGGGACTCCTTGATACTCATGGAGGAACGAACGTAAGTAGCTGAGATACCTATTCTGATTTTTAATTGCCACACCATGAGTGTGGGACCTGCCCATTCTGCATCTCCACCTCTACCAGTCTCGACGTTGTTTCTTCTTTATATCCCTATTTATAAGACTTCTATTCAGATGGTCTTCAGGTTGTTATTATGATGGTTGTTCTATAGTTTAGTTGTAATTTTGATATGGTCATTGGAGGAGGCAAGCACAGAGTTTACCTACTCTGCTGTCTTGACCAGAAGACTCCCAAGTCATTTTTACTTGCATGAGAATGAGAACATAATGTCACAATTTAGGGGACAAGAAAAATTATGGAAAGCAGCTAAAGCAAGGCTTAGATGAAAATTTTTAGCATTAAAATAGTAGAAAATAAGAAAGGTCTTAAACCAGTGAACTAAGGTTCTACCCTAGGAAACTAAAAGAGAAGAGCATATTAAATTGAAAGCAGAAAGAAGGAAATAATAAAGATAACAGAAATCAATGAAATTGAAAACAGAAGATGAATAGAGAAAATAAAGGCTGCTTCCTAAAAAAGATCAATAAAATTGATAAAATTCTAGTGAGACTGACTAAGAAAAAAAAGACACATTATAAATATCAATAATGAAATTGGGAGCATTAGTACAGACTCTATAAAAGGGTAATAAGGGAATATTATAACTTTATGCCTGTATTTTACCAAATAGATGAAATGGGTCACTCCTTGAAAGACACAAACTCTTAAATCTCACTTTAGAGAAGTGGTTCTTAACCACGGCAGTTTCAGCCCCCAGGGGACATTTGGCAGCATTTTGAAATTTTGAAATTTGGCAGTATTGGAGAAATTTTGGTTATTACAACTGGAGGAGTGCTACTGGCATCTAGTAGATAGAGATCAGGGATGCTGCTAAGCATCTTGCAGAGAATTATCCAACCCAAAAAGTCAGTAGTGCCTCGTTTAGAAATACTGTTCAAGAAGATATAAATAACCTGAGTAGACTATACCTATTAAAGAATTTGAATTCTTAGTTAAAAACCTTCCAACAAAGGAAACTCCATGCCCAGATGACTTTACTTGTCATTTCTTCCAAACGTTTAAGGAATACCAATTCTATACAGTTTCTTCCAGAAAAACGAAGAGGCAACATTCCTAATTCATTTTGTAAATTTTAGTACATGTTACCTTGATACCAAAATCAGAAATAGACATTACAAGAAAAGAAAAAACTAAAACCAATATTTTTTATGAATATAGACATAAAAATCCTCAACAAAGCATTAGCAAATCAAATCTAGCAATAGATAAAGAGGACATTACAGCACAACCAAGTGGGATTTATTCTGGGAATGCATGGCTGATTCAGTATTCAAAAATTAATATAATTCACTGAATCACCATTCTAAAGAAAAACCATATGATTGTCTCAGTAGATGCAGAAAAGGTATTTGACAAAATTTAACATTTGTTCATGATAAAAACTTTTAGCTAACCAGGAATAAAAGGGAACATTTTACCTCGATAAAGCACTTCTACAAAAAACCCTGTAGCCAGCCTCATACCTAATGGTGAAAGATTGAGTGCTTTCTTCCTAAGATGAGGAAGAAGGTAGAGATATATCACCACTTCTATTCAGTATCATACTGGAATTCCTAGAGTGCAGTAAAGCAAGAGAAATAAATAAAAGGCACACAGATTGGAAAGGAAGAAATAAAATGCTCTATTCTCAGGTCACATAATTTTCTATGTAGAAAATTCCAAAAAAATCTATAGAAAGATTTCTAAAATGAATAATGGAGTTTAGCAAGGTCACAGTAGAAGGTCTGTATACAAAAATCAATTCTATTTATATATGCTAGTGATGAACATTTGGAACGGGAACGTTTTTTAAAGTGCTATCTACAAAAGCATCAATGCACAAGAAATATTTTAATATACATCTAACAAAATATATGTGTGATCTGTATGCCGAAAACTATGAAACACTGATGAAGGAAATCAAAGAAGGCCAAATAAATGGAGAGATGTACAGTATCTCTTGATGGTAAGACTTGGTATAGGAAAGATATCGATTCTTTTTTCTTTTTAAATACTATCACAATCAGAATCCCAACAAGATTTTTTAAATATATGTTATCAATATGTTTCTAAAATTTAAATGGAAAGGCAAGAGAATTAGAGCAGCCAAAACAATTTTGAAAAAAGAACACTTAGAGTATTCATGCCACCTGATTTCAAGGTTTAATATAAAGCTACAGTATTCAAGATAATATGGTATTTGTGAATGATAGAAACATAGACCAATGGAACAGAATAAGAAGTCCATAAGTAGAGTCACACATATGTGATCAGTTGACTTTTGACAAAGGTAGAGAGCAATTCAATGGAGAAAGGGAGGGTACTTCCTTGCAACAGCCATACGGTGTTTCATTTCAGCATACCAGAGTTCATTAACCATTTTCTCTCTTCTGTGGTGAGATGCCCCAGCTGCTCCCTACTCTTAGCCATCATAGACAACACCTCAACAAACTCCGTTGTGCGCATCTTTTTAAGTTAGTCCCTTAGGCCTAATTCTCAGGCTATAGTCTTTGCCAAATGATGTTCCCATTTAACAACACATTGCTATCTTGAAAGGACTAAATCAATACAGAAGGCTACTAGCCTTGCTGCATCTTTGCTGGAATTGAATGCTAAGTCCCCCCACCTGTAAGATTTTGCTACTTTAATTGTTGTGTAAATGAACTGCAGGATTGCTTTGGTTTATATTTCTTTGGTTGCTAATAAGGATGAAGTTTTTCTCAAGGATTTTTTTCCTATGCTGGTGGGAGCTCTGTATGTAAACCTTGCCCTTTTATTTATTTGAGCGTAGTTGGTTTTTCTTATAAATTTAAATGACTGTTTTTATGTTATAGGCCCTTGGTAGATGTTGATATTAATTGAGTGATATTTTGAAGAAATGTATAAATGTTTTTGTTTTCTAGCTGGTTTAGGTGAATTTCGAATTCGTGACCTGAATGATGAAATTAACAAATTGCTGAGAGAGAAAGGACACTGGGAGGTCCGGATAAAAGAGCTGGGTGGTCCTGATTATGGAGTAAGTAAGCAGCAGCGCCAGTGGCTCTTGGGAAGGAGTTTTGGGAGCTTTTGGGCAGGCTGGGTAGGTCCTGTCAAGGAGCCTGTAGCTCCTAGCCCATGCCTACCAAAGAGTAGGCACTAAAGAAATGAAAGGAGGCTTGAAAAGTGCCTGTTGCATGTAGACAGGAAACCTATGAAAAGGATGGGTTGGATGATGCTTAAAGACTCTATAGCACTAGTCTCAGAGCAGACAGGGCACGTGTATTTACCAGGCAGATGTTCCTGAATAAGCTACTTAGTCTCTCTGGGCCTCTTGTTTAAAATGACCGTGGCCCTCTCACATCCTTCTCTGAACTCCTTGGGAATTAGGGCAACATTTATTGGATTTTTACCTGAGGGGACCTTGGAACACTCCATTCTTTCCTTTCTTTGGACTCTTATTAATGCAACACTCTTGAACAGTGGCTTTTAAGCTTTTAGAACCATAACCCAATGTAAAACACACACACACACACACACACACACACACACACACACACACACACAAAATCAAATTGTTTATAATCAGTGAAAAAGAAAAAATCTTAAAAACAGC